AGAGCGTCTCGGCTGGCACATCACGGCACTCCATCCGGCACTGCAGACAGACAAATAGGCAGTCAGGGTCATGCAGGCTCAGAGCCCTGCCAGGGAACCAGAGGGCAGACAGCCAAAGGGTGATGGGGAGGAGAGGTGAGGGTGGGTCAGGGACCTGTGAAGCCAGCAGGAACTCACATCTCGCCATAAGCCTTGTCTAGCCCCTGCAGAAACCACCTGTGTCGGGACAGATAACCTCCTGTATCTAGAAACCACTTTCTCCATCTCAGCCCAGTCTCCTCCTCCAGGAAGTCTTCCCAGCCAGACTTTCTAGGATCCTACACACTGACTCTCTAAATCTTGTCCTCCCAGATCCCTGTGAGCTCTTCGTGGGCAGAAGCTCATGGTCGATTCAAGTAGAGCCTGCTACAAGTATGTGTTAAACGAAATAAAAGCATGAGTGAATAAATAAATGTCCAAAAGGGTGATTTTTTTTTTCCTCCCAAGCTTCTTATCACCTGACTATGCCACATCCTCTCCTTTTTGTAGGTTTTTCTTTTTATTTTAGTTCAACAAACATCCTTGGATTTCTTACTTTCTTTTTTTTCGTTTTGACTTGCCAGAGGGTGTGTATACTCATGAGAGGGAGAGGGAGGAAGCACCCCCAGTGAAGCATGGTCATACCACAGTCTCTTCTCCATTCCTGCATTCTGTCAGGACCTGGGGCATGCACACACATGTACCTGGTATGTTTTTCAAGCTGGCAGGGCCAGCATTCGAACTATGGCTGGCCCTGTGGGATCTGGCTCCCTTAACCACGAGGGTACAGGCCAGCCATGTACTAAGAAGTTTTTATTCTTTTTTTTTTTTTGGTTTTGGGAGATGTTTTTGCTATAGGGCACATGCGCTTGCCAGAAAAACAGAGAGAGACAGAAAAACAGAGAGAGACAGAGAGACAGAAAATGAGAAATCACCCCCCAGGGGGGATGGCCACACCACCATCACTTCTCCTCCATTCTCCTCTCAGGATGTTGGGCACGCACGCACACACGCCCAGTGTGAGTTTAAGCCACCAGGTCCGGGACTTGAACCATGGTCAACTACATGGGAGTCCAGTGACATAGTCATTATGCCAACTGCTGGTCCTCGAATTTTTTATTCTTAATTAGCCTTACCCTCAAGGAGCTTTCCATCAAGCGAAGAAAGTAGCTGAGCATACCTTATTTTATTTAACCCTTCCAACAACTCTGCCAGACAAGAAAGCCAAGGAGAAACTTTAGTCTCAAAGAAGTTAAGGTTACCCAGCTAGTAAGTAGCAGAGCTGGGATTTAGCCCAGATCACATGTCTGAAAAGCAAGTGAAAACAGAACCTGGTTTCCCTAGATTTGTACTTGGAAAGATGAAACTTGATGTCCTTGTTCTGCCTTTTTTTTTTTTTAACCCAAAAGCCCAACCCCCAAGATTGAGTTCCCCTCAGCAAACGGATAGCTTGTCTTACATAGTTTAGAAGGTCCCCCAAAACTGGCATTTAGGGGAACCAGCAGTTAGCGTAATGGCTATGTCGCTGGATTCCCACGTAGTCGACCGCAGTTCATGTCCCGGACCCGGTGGCTTAAAACTCACACCGGGCGCGTGTGCGTGCGTGCCCAAGATCCCGAGAGGAGAATGGAGGAGAAGGGATTGCGGCGTGACCATCCCCCCTGGGGGGTGATTTCTTGCTTTCTGTCTCTATGTCTCTCTCTGTCTGGCGAGCGCACGTGCCCTACAGTGAAAATCTCTCAAAAAAAAAAAAAAAAAAAAAAAAAACTGGCATTTAGGTGGTGCCAGAGAACCATACGTGCTTTCTACTCACAGGGGCTACATGCAACCATGTGAGGAAGGGTCCCAGGATAGCCTTGGCCCCACAGGAAGGGCATACCAACCCCTATGGGGTGCTCTAGGCATCAAGAAACTCATCAAGTCCTGGACATAAGTTCAGTTTTCAGAAAACACCTCAGGAGCACGGAAAGCCTTAAGAGGCCAGAGAACCCAGCTGAGTGACACCAGGAAAAAACAACCAGACCGAGGCAGATGGTGAGACAATCTGCAGTGCTACTGCCCTGGTCTGGTCCCCAGACGGGTCATAGCAAGGGACTGGGCTGGACTGAGACCTGCAGGATACAACCACATGGAAAACGTGGCCCTGGATTGCATACTGATGTGGAGATACCTACTGTAAAGGACATTTTGGGGAAAACCAGAGAAATGTGAACATGGTCTGAGTATTAGGATGCTCTGAAATTTTGTGAAAACAAAACAGTAAAGATAGCTACCTGGGTCAGGGGGAGGGGAAACAGGATGCAAGATGAAATTCATAGGATAATCTCATCTGGGGAAAAACGCTCAGGAAGCAGTCACTATGGTGTTAACAGTCCTAATCTCTAAATGTTAAGAATATGATCGTGGGAACCAGCAGTTAGCGTAATGGCTATGTCGCTGGACTCCCACGTAGTCGACCGCGGTTCGCATCCCGGACCCGGTGCCTTAAAACTCACGCTGGGCGCGTGTGCGTGCGTGCCCAAGATCCCAAGAGGAAAATGGAGGAGAAGGGATTGCAGCGTGACCATCCCCCCTGGGGGGTGATTTCTCGCTTTCTGTCTCTATGTCTCTCTCTGTCTGTATGGCGAGCGCACGCGCCCTATAGCGAAAATCTCTCCCAAAAAAAAAAGAATATGATCGTTTCCTTTTCCTTCTGCTTGTCTCTATTTCTAATGTTCTAAAATGCATAGTACTCCTGCAGTAATGAAAACATAGATAAAAAGGTTCTGTGGCGATCTGAGAGGCGTACTCACTGCGCGCTGGATGCAGTACTGAATGCTTTATACACAGCACCTCATTTTATTCTTAAAATATCCTGGCCTGGTAAGATGCTCTAGGCTCATCTTACACTTTCTCTGACCCAGCCCTGGAATCACCCATTAATCTAAGAAGGCCTAGAACCAGGGCCTTTGGAGTATTAGACCACACCACACCATGGAAACCCAAGCCAGATGGAAGTCATTCACCTGCTCCACGGGCCACACTCTGGCCTGCCTCTGCGTCTTGGCCCTGGCCTTCTCTGCACAGGGCCACTTGGCCAACAGCCACCTCTAGACTGAGAGTCTCCACAAAGTTTGATTCCCCACCTCCCCCCAACAAAGCTCATCTCCTCCTCCATGCCCCCACTGGGCACTTTAAGGCACCTCATTTCCAAGTGGGCCTCCCTGCTCAGCTGGAAGCTGCAATGCTCTGAGGTATGCACCCGTTTATTCTCTTTTTTTTTTTTTTAAGATTTATTTAATTTTATTATTATTATTATTTTATTACAAGGCACACATGCTCACCAGAGAGATAGAAAAGAAATAAAGTGAGAAAGCAAGCCGCCAGGTCCAGGACCTGAACCATTGTTGGCCATGTGAGAGTCCAACCCCTCAACCACCATGCCACCTGCTGACCGCCCCTCCCTCCCAGTTTAAAATTAAGAAAACTGAAGCTTGGGATGGCCCTGTGGCCTAGTGCTTAAGAGAGATGGATCCCACATGGCTGACCACACAGTTGGAATCCCAGTTCCAATAGCTGGAAAAATACACCAGGCGTGTGTGTGTGTGTGTGTGTGTGTGTGTGTGTGTGTGTGCCCAAAATTCCAACAGGGGGGAGAAATGAAGGAGAAAGAATTGCTGCAGTACCACACCCCGCTTGGGGGTACTTTCTTCCCTTCTCTCTATCTCTCTCATAAGTACACATGCCCTCTGGCAAATAAAAAAGAAAACAGAAGCTCAAGGACAGACTCCAGCTTGCCAAGACTCATGTCTGACCCAGAACAAGTCTCACTCTCTGTCCTGATTGTTCTTCCAGTCTATGACTGGATCCATCATTTAAACCTGCTGTCCCTCACTCCAGCCCTCTACTGAGCCCAGAAGAGCCAGGCGCAATTCTGAGGCTTATCCTTGAGCAGCTCCGACTGAGGCAGGAGGCCCACCTGGAAATGAGGAGGTGCCCTAGAGTGCCCAGTGGGGCCACGGAGGAGGAGATGAGCTTTGGTGGGGGAAGGTGGGGAATCAGGCGTTGCGGAGACTCTCAGTCTAGAGGTGAGTGTTTGCCAAGTGGCCCTGTGCAGAGAAGGCCAGGGTCAAGACGCAGGGGCAGGCCAGAGTGTGGCCCATGGAGCAACTGAATGACTTCTACCTGGCTTGGGTTTCCATGGTATGGTATGGTCTAATACTCCAGAGGTCCCCTGGGTGATCTCAGGGCTGGGTCAGAGAAAGAATAAGATGAGCTTAGAATATCTTACCAGGCCAGAAGGGGAGGAGTACTCAAAGAATGATAGAGGCCCTGTCCAAGGGACGCAGGAGCCCATCTGAAGGACTCCTACTGGTAGAGTGACCACATTGGGGTTTACCCAGGATTTCCCAATTTCACCACTGAAAGTGTCACATCCTGGGAAACCCCTCAGTCCCAGGTAAATTGGGATAGCTGATCACCCTACCATGGGCTAAATCTGGGACACGCTATATGTTAAAACAAGTAATGAGGGGACCAGCAGTTAGCGTAATGGCTATGTCACTGGACTCCCATGTAGTCGACCGTGGTTCAAGTCCTGGACCCGGTGGCTTAAACTCACGCCGGGCATGTGCGTGTGCGTGCCCAAGATCCCAAGAGAAGAATGGAGGAGAAGGGATTGTGGTGTGGCCATCCCCCCGGGGGGTGATTTCTCACTTTCTATTTCTCTGTCTCTCTGTCTGTCTTTCTCGCGAGTGCATGAGCCCTATAGCAAAAACCTCTCCAAAAAAAAAAAGTAATGACTTATTATATATCAGATTATATCTCACTGAATAAAATAAGAAACCAAACTACAAAGAGGTACAAAGAAAGAAAGAAATGGATAAGCCCAGCTCAGTGGCACAGCGGTCATGAGCTGCTCAAGAGAGACTAAATCTTGGGGCCAACAGGTGGCACGGTGGTTAAGGTGCTGGACTCCCACCTGGCTGACCACAGTTCCAGTCCTGGACCTGGCTACTTGCTTTTTCACTTTCCCTGTCTCTG